CTTTTTTTTATTTAATCAAAGCTTTGTTGTTACATAGTGTCGTAGGTGAAGTGTGTCAATAAATCCCAAAACATGCACTGTGTCAATAATGATTTCACACTTTGGAATATTGAGATAAATTTGATTGTTTCCATAACATCATGAATAATAAATGAAAATGGTGTAGTTGTTCATTCTTGGATGAACTGAAAACTACAATGTTTTGAACATTAATATTGAAACTGTACATGGAAATGTGTTCGTACCGTGATCATCAATCTCATAAACATGTTTGGGACATTGCATGTTCATCTGTCTCATAAACCATTTATAGAAGCCTTCCCAAGTTTCAAACACCATCTTCCATTCGACTTTGGCTGTTCATTTCTTTTGAGATCATTTTTTGGCTATGAGTTTGTAGATTCCGTTAAGCTCGGTCACTTCCATTATTGATGGTTTGAAGAGATTGTATATTAAAAAATTAAGGCCACAGGAAGTTTTTATATTTTCAACTCACTTCCAAGTAGAAATTTGATGAATTTCGATGGAGGGCTTGAAGAGGAATCGTTGAATTGCAAGTTTAGCTACTTACTAAGGATTTTACCTGCTAAGGATTTTAATTGGTCACATATAGTGCAGTTTTTGGAATTTAAAAGTCTGTTTTTTGTCTTTCTTTTTTTTTAATTATGCTTGTGAATCTGTACTTGGTTTGCTGTTTACTGCAATTACTGCATCAGCGTTGCTGCAACGTCTGTTTTTTTGTCTAAATCAAAGTCCAAGAGACTTGTTTTTGGGTAGATTTCAGATTAATCTATCTGATATTAGTCTTGTGTATCATTAATCATTGTAAATTAATGACCACAACTTCACTCGAGCAAATAGCTTGGATTAGTAGAACTGTTCATTCTGCATATATTTCTTTTTGGTTTTTTATGTATGGAAGCAAAGTATTTATTCAATTGATCAACTTAATAGAGGGAATTTAGAGCATTTGAGTGAGGGTGGAGGGGAACCCAAATATATATATATATTTTTCCTTTTCAAAGAGAAATTTTAGTGTACAACTGAAATTTTCTAATTGACTATTAATTTAGCAACACAGGAGATTCTTAGTTGAAATGAGTGGAGAATGAGTTCATAAGGCTGGCAAATTTTTCGAGAAAGCTTCGATGTTTATTTTTTAGGGGCATTTACATCCATGATACACAATTCTTATGCATTCGCAGATCTCACATCTAAACTTTCATATTTACACACATAGCACTCAGTTTTTTAGTATTACATAAAAATAGCTCCATTATCACTCTTTAAAAGTGAAATACACATTTTCATGCATAGATTTCGAAACACTGAAATGCTATGCATGTAAATATGAAAGTTTGTGTGAGATATGTAAATACGTGAGAATTGTGTGCTACGTATATAGAGTTCTCTATTATTTATTACGACTTGTTGTAATTTGTGTTTTCATTAGTTTGGTTTTAATGATATACCCTCTTATATATTAATTGTTTTTTATATAATTGTATTTTATAATGTCATTTCATTAAACTGAAGATTTTTATGGCTTCTCTTTTATTTTGTTCTATTTCGGGCCAAGTGGAATGATGGGTAACTAGAAATGTTCAGGAATGAATTCATTGGAACTGCACCATATGTCTCCTGTATTCCTTCTCTTTGTCACCATAAATTGGGACCAAATGATCAGTTTTTGGTGCTTTCATCAGATGGTCTTTATCAGTATTTGAGCAATGAGGAAGTAGTTGTGCATGTTGAAAGATTTATTGAAAGGTTTCCATAAGGTGATCCTGCCCAAAGTTTGATCGAGGAGCTTTTGTTTCGTGCTGCGAAAAAAGCTGGCAAGTTTTATTTTCTAGACCTTTAACTACAAATATGATTCAAGGTTCCTATTATGATTAGTAAAAGAAGGATGGTTAACAAACCTATAGATCAGATACATCCATGGCAAATTTTGATTTTGAAACTGGAAGCCATGATTATGGAGGATATTGATTATGATCATTGTGATTTGGGTTATAGGAAAATTCAGAGCAGAACTGTTCCCATCCCCTAATGATTCAATCAATGTAGGAATTATTAGATATGGATAGCATGCATACGTCTACATGCTGAGAACAAGAATACATAGCTGTGTACTCCAATACTTTATACCTAGCTTTTCTCATTTTACATATACATGATGCAATTCATTTTTAGCATTCTTATTAAGAGCTAATATATGTGATGTAATTCCTTTATTCATTTTTGCAGCTTTATTATATATCCTGTTTAGGTCCATCACATATAATACCTCTTATTGCCATTCAATTATTATTATTATTACTTTCTTATAAATATTAAAAGAAAAAGTGATAATGTTTACAATTTTTTAGACCATTGCCCTTGTATAAATATGATCACTAAAGAAAACGATCCATGGAGGAATGTGTTGCATTAAGCAACAATTGTCTGTTCTTTTTTCTTTCGTTGCAGTCAAGAAAATATGAGCTCAAGGAATGCAGGGACAGGCCAGCGATTGCTCTGCCAATGTGGCCTCCAAACTTCTCTACTGACGTCACGTCAGCCGCACATCTATGGCAGAAAGTTCTATAGCTGCCCACGGAGCATCGCAGAACAATGTCACTTCTTCCGTTGGGCAGACAGTTCAGAGGATTCCCATGACGACGGTGATCGGGAATGGAGCACATCATTTTGGGAAAGTCTAGCACGGGAGCTACACCGTTTGAACGTTAAAATTAATATAATCATCTTATTAATTACCATTTTAATAGTATTAGACTTTTTTTTGCACTCATGATCTTCACTGTGAAGTGAGGTGTGTATCTGTAATTTTCTATTGTTTTTACGTGTAATACTCAGTTTAACGGCTATTCCAACAGTTCAGAAAAACTCCTACGTGTTTGAATTCCGTCTTTCCCAGGAAGCTTTTTCAGTTTGTAACTGTTGAGGAAAAATAATTTGTCTTTAAAATGATGAAAATGAAATTATGTCCTCTTTTATATTATGGAGTAATGTGTTGCATTAAGCAATTGTGGAATTCTTCAGCCTTCCTGCATGAGTAAATTGCTTTATGAATGTTATTAGATACCCTTTGATCATCACCTATAGTTTATTTCTCCAAACAATAACATGACTAAATGATTTTTTTTCAAAACAATATTATTTAAAGTTCCACAAACTCTCTTATTGTTGCATAAATTATGCCTGAAATAGGATACCACACAGTCTTTAAAGGCATTGGCAATAATTTCTTTCATAAAAGGCTAGAGAAGCAACCATAAAATCATCAATAAATCACACATTTAATAATGTAAACAAAGAAGTATTTTCTTTCTCTTTTTTTATTGTACTTTATTCAGACATATTACAATTAATGCAAAATATTTGTACTAATTGCAAGTAAGCATTTCAGATAATCTTCTTTATTGTTGGAGTTAGCGCTATGCGCTTGGCTGAATAAAGTTGGAGTTTGTAACTATTGAGAATATGTTAGAAGCACTGAATTTTGATATTACAGTCTCTATTTTGCCTTGTACATTGCATTTGGTACCTTGAAATTGTTGAGAATATGTTGGAAGCAGGGAATTCGAATTTCCAACTACAATTCAAGCTAATAATGAATTTCAACAAATTCATCATTATTTTAAAAATATTTATAGACTTCAAATAAATTTATCAGTATTTTTCATTTCTGCTTCTGAATTATTAAATAAGTGAGTGTCACAGATTTGTTACAAACAAATTTATTGAACAATGACAGAATGATCAATTTTTCAGAGACAGCTGCCCCACAGCTGTTTTCACACAGCTGCAACAAACAAACAGCTAGTTTCCCCACAGTAACTTTCCCGTAGCAACTTTTTGGGGCAAGCACAGCTGCAGCTGAAAAACTGAGAAACTATAGTTGCGGCAAACAGAGCCTTATTTATCTCTTTCTCTCACCATTTATCGCGATTCGCGATCGAGCCTCCTCTTTGCCCTATGGTGGCTGCATTTGGTGTCATCCTGGCGACGACTCCAACTCACAATGACGTAGGTTGCCAGCGACGAAGGCTGGGTACTCCCTTTCACCTTTTTTTTCATTATTTTTCTTTTTTTTCTATCGTGAATAGCTAGGATTTGTGATTTGTGATTTTCGTTTCAAGTTAAAATGTTGAAGGATGAGACGCATGGGATTTGAAAGGTTTTCTTTTCTTGGTGTGGGAAAAAAGAAAATAAAATAACCTTCATTATTTATTATACATTACTTAATCATAAATACATCACATAAGCATAATTTTTAATAAATATTAATCAATAAAAATTACTATTTAATCCTCAAAACTATATATATATGACGTGAACTCTCTAGAGGACAGCTTGGCCTTGAGGAAAAAGAACCCTTGACTAATCATATAGTGACATTGAAAGCTCCTCCATCACACAACAATAGGTTAATAAAATCATCATGGAAACATGGACTGGATTTGAGAATTTGCTAATGATTAAACCAAACTAAACCATTTATAACTCAAATCTTGCCAAGCCCATCCAAAGTAGAAACTTAGCAAGTCACGCATCAGCAAATACCTTTCTTAAACACTAAAAAAAATTATCGAGGATATCTTCATTCTCAAACTCAACAAAGGTTTTGAACTAGCGATCAACTACAAGCCCAATTTGCAAAATACAAAGCTACTACACCAATTTCAACCTCCATAATCCACATATAATTGTACTATATAGTTAATTCTGTAATGTCGTCCGATGTTAGTTCCCATTTATAAATAAGGAATCATTAATCATGTGCTGACACAAAAAATATAATATCAGAGAACTGTCACAATGAAGTCTAGCATAGAATTTCTAAAAAAAACTACCATAATGTCACTCTGAATTGCTCATCTGTAGCTCAAATCAACCCAAACTTTTCTACAAAAGAGTTTAACCGAGTTATTTCTAAATCAATTCATTAACATAACTTTCTTCTCAAATCTTTGATTTCTAGACTATTTCTTTAATAATCTCAATATCTTCTCACAAATAACCTTAATCCAACAAATTTTGTCACCAACTATACACAATGCAATAACCTTGTATATTACCAATGCGTAGTACATACACAAACGGTCATCAAATAGCAGGTTTAGGCAGACTCCATACAGAATAATCGAACAAGGTTACCTTTGATAGAGAAAAGAGAAAGAAACACTTAAAATTTATCCACAGCAATGCCGTCTCTGAGGACCTCATAAGCATCTCTGCTCCTGGTTTTCTTGACGCCAGTGTTGAAATGGACCTTAGATCCATGCGTAGAGACTGATGTCACCTTTGTCCAAACTATGACTTTGGTCTTCATGCCTTCTATATCAGAGAGAGTTCCCTTGTCCAGATACCCAGTGACAGTTGTAAGAAATCTCAGGACGGAGGAATCCTTATAACCAACCTCACATATGGAGGGAATGAACACGGTAAGCTTTCTGGTCTCTTCGTTGAACTCATAGTTAGTGGCATCCCGAGGGAAGATGCCTACTGGCAGGTCAAACTCTTTTAGAAGATCCGGCAGAGGCTTCTGTATTTTACCTGAGAAATTTCATGTTCCATTCAGAAAAATCAACTAGCAAGGTAAGATGGGAGGTTGAGAATTGCTATCATATTCTTAAGATATCAGTCGTAATACTAATTTTGGTAGCTATTACAACACACATTAGTCTCAAACACACAAGATGAGGCACTAAAAATTAAAGAAAGTAGATAAAATCGTTAAAAGTATTTAATGTATAGAATTCGTACCTTTGAGCTTATTGACCAGCCATTTTGCTCCGTTTTCAATGCTGCTTGAAAGTGACTGGTTTTAGGATGTGGAAACATACAGGGTGAGGAACATTAATAATAAAATCATATATTCCAATGATAAAATAAGGGAAGGATGATCGATTAACAGCCAAAACAATTTCATTTTAAAAGAACATCATGAGCACTGAGATTAAAAATAAAAGCACTGAAACTAATGTAATTGAGTGGAAATATACCTTGAGGCATCCTTTGTAAGACTAAAGGTCTCAACTGGGTTTCAAAATGTGTATTCTAAAGAGCGTAAAAAATGTCTTTAACAAGGGCGCAAAAAATGAAGTAAAAGGATGGAAATTAGGAATAAAAAAGAGCAAGCTTCACTTATCAGATCAGGTATACATGGAAGGTATATGGCCTACTAAACAAGTATATCCATTAATGCAGGTATACATGGAAGGTATATGGCCTACTAAACAAAACTACGTTGTCAAAATGGATGGCTTTAGGTTAATGGAATGGCTTTAGGTACTTAGAATGCCACTTTCTGTTATTGGAATTCAAAATGCCAATACTACGTTGTCAAAGAGGCATTTTACTCCACTTAAACAGTTGAGCTACTATTAAAAATGCTTGCTCCATTTTCAAGTGCTCCTTCGTTATAATAATTTTTTTCTAAATTTAATAAAGATAACGAGAGATTCCCCACTACAAGCATTTCAAAAACCTAGTAATCTTTTAGGAGGTTTGGGTATTTCATGTACAGATAAACATTTGCCTAGTATCAGATTCTCAAGATTAAGCAAATTTTACAGAATAGGCTAAAGAACAGAGTATAAATTATGAAGTGAAAGTCTTCACATCCTCACCGTGGCTATACTCATGAAATATTTAACTAGGTGAGCTCAGGACAGAAAGCTGGTATTAAATATGAAGCCATGTATAAAAATAAATCAAAGAATTCAAAGAACAGATTTTATTTCCTTTTTTAATTTGGTGCTTTTTTTAATGACAAGAAGGAATATTTTGTTAAGAAAATGTTGAAGGAATACAGTGTAGGAGTGTGCCTGAGAAAAAAGAACTATATGAAAAAAAATAGGTGGATTATATAGGGTAAAATAACATAAAAATTGGAATCAATGAGTGATTTCTCAGCTTAATGGTTGTATTTAAGATCAACTTATGTCAAGCCGTCAAATTATAGCAGAGAATTCATTCAAAAATGAAAAACAGTATCTGATATTAAAGTTCAAAAATTTTCTATGATGAAAAAATTAGCAATGACCACATATAGGGTAAGAGAATATAAAAAATTGGAATCAATGAGTGATTCATCAAACCTTATGGTGGTATTTAAAATAAACTTATGTCAAGCAGTCAAATTACAGCAGCGAATTCATTTATAAATGAGAAGCAATATATAACAATATAGTTTAAAATTTTTCTATGATGAAAAAATTAGCAATGACAATACCGGAAGATAAAAAGTTATTTTTTCAGTTGAGATCAATTTTGAGAACAACTACAATAGAAAATACAGAGAGCTGGATTTTTCAATTATCCTGTCGACTCTCAAATAAAGAAGTTTCAAACTATGCATGCCACTTTTCAGTTGTATCAGAACGTAAACAGCATGATACATTCATAACTACATTCAACTTTAAAGATAGTTTTAGGAATAACCATCATATTTATTTGATTATTCACCATTTAATCATAAAACTGGGCTAACTTTTCATTTTAATTAGACTATTATGCTAACACTAAGTTCCATTGTATGACTAGCCAGCCCTTGACTTATGACCAAGTCATCCTATCATTTTTTTCTCACAGGCTTGCTTGGTTTAATGATTGTTTACCACTAGACTTTGCTAGCTTAAACAATGAAAGCTGGCCAAAAGGAAGAATGTCACAAAATGAACATTCTTATGTGCCTATTCTAGGGTGACTATGGCATCCTATAGAAAAAAATATTAAAATCTCAACACCGGATGAAATACTAGAAACATAAGATAAATGCAGAACAAATGTTCTCGGACAGATTCCAATTTTACCAAATCTGAAATGAAACCAACACGTTTTAAGATTGTTAGACATATTGCATGCCGATAAAAAAATGAAAAGAAAAGAACATTATTAATATAAATAGAAATATTTGAATGAAAATATAGAATATTACAACTTAAACTTCACCCTTTAACTAGAATCTTAAAAAAAGAACTGCAAAGAAATTGAAACGTGTCCAAATGAATTCCCCTAAAACAAATTCGCTCTCTTCTCCAGTACTAGAGGATAACACGAGAGTTTGTCTCCTAAGATGTAATGATGGTATGGCAAAACTTCGCAACACCATGAGCACTCTGATGAACTCAAATATGGCTTCAAATAGAATTCAAGAGAAAACTAAGCCTAAAAGCAAGAAAAGCAAAAGAAAGCATCTAATTTTTAGTTATTTGAAATGTAGGAGAAAATTTCTTCATAAAGATTATTGCAAACGATATGACAAAGCTTGGAATAATTGAGGAATCGATCTCATAGGTTAAACTTTCTAATTCCATAGGTTACAACCTTTCAAATTCCATTTACAATTTTGATCATCATTTTTTCAATCACCCATAGGTTACAAATCATTTTTTTTAATAATACTCCACATTATTGAAATTAATCAGGAATAATGGAAACACAAAGGCATGACCTAGTGATAGAGTCATATGGTTAATACCCATATAGGAGAAGTAGGTGTTAACCCTTGAACATTTTCTTATTAGAATATATCCACAATTGTTCATTGTCTTGTAACTGATGATATAAGTATATCTTAAAGACATAATTTTAGTTCTCACTGTGTTCATTTTGACCATGAATATTCTTATAGTTCTATAAGAATTTCTAAGAAAATGAGCTCTAAATAATTCTTTCAAGTGACCTAACACTAGAATTATATATGCATAAGCATAACTAAAAACATAGCTTAACCTTTCACTAACGGCAATGATTGTGTTCCTCATAGGAATAGACAAAAAGATAAACCCCAAAGTGATCTACAAAGTATCTGCAATTAGGTTATCCCTTTGAACCTCAATCTTACAATTTCTAATAACCTAGGTTGGATTTCTTAAATAGCAATTGTATCTTTTCACAACTTGTCTCATTCTTCTTGATATTTTCTCAACTACATCTCTTTTCAATTTTTTGGTAATGGATTTATTATGTTCCCCTGTAACTTTAGCTATTCAACTATTATGATTCTAATTAAAAGAAAATGTTTAACAATAAAATGTACATAATGTACATATCTCAATTTACTGTTGTACTTTTTTGTGCCATGGCAATAGTAAATTGTGAATTTTAGTGTCTGTATAATGTGCAGCCCTTGAACTCTTTTTCACATTTATCCAAGGCTACAAAGTTAGATTTCATCATGGATCTAGTTCTTAATACTTGCTTGGGGGATTACTATAATAAAACTACACCTTTCCTGTAAATACAAATCCACTAGTAACTTTAATACCTTTAACATCAAACATCCAGCTTGAATTATTTTATCCTTAAAGAACAATGGGAACATCCAGCTTCAATTATTTTATACTTCAATAACAATGGAGTATCTAGTATGTTGCACTCCATAGTCATGAGTATTACCATAAGTACCTAAGAAGTAAAAAAACATACAATTGCATACTAGTCATAAGCTCGATTGCTCGTGAATCTACTTGATCTACTACCAGTGAAGGCAATCTTTGGCCTTGCATCGCTCATGGAAAGTGATAATAACTAGATTTACAATGAAATTTGAACTTATAGACTTGAATAAATGTGGGAAATTGGACGAGTGTTTGAACAATATTTGAAAGATATTCTTAATTGGCCAAAGCATACGCTAAATATGCATCATTTTGATAATCAATCCACTATTGATAGAGCATGCAATATTATATACAAAGGCGTGTTGAAAAGCATAAGTCGTCAATATAATACCATTAAAAACTTACTCTTAACTAGAACCACAATTATTGACTATATCAAGTCAAAAGAGAACATCATAAAACCTTAACCAAAAGGTTGAAAAAGGATCCTGATAAAAATTCATCGAAGGAAAACGAGACTTAAGCGAATGAAAGTATAAAATTAAAACGACAGAAATCTAACCTAAAAAACAAGTGGTCCCACAATCAAAGTTAAAAAGGGACAACCTTAAGAAAAATAATAATTAAAAAAAAGAAACTAATGGGGCAACCTAGTTATAGAGAGTATGTCAAATCACTGGCGATTAATGCCCTATCTATCTATTAAATTGTATTTTATCATCAGGCGGAGTCATTGTTTTTTATGTCATCAATCAACTTTATCCATGTGGAGGATTATTAAAAAAAAAATTGTAGCTTTCACTTAATGAAAATTTGATAATTAAAATTGTGGCCTATGCATTAATTCTTATCAAATTGAATAGTTATAACCTATGAGATAAATTCCTATAAAATTTAAAAAGCTGTAAACAATGAGATTAAATCCTTCACCTGTCCAAGCTTTATAACTGTATACAAGAAAAATGTCAGCACGACTCTCAAAGAGATCAAGCGGTTCAAAGGAGCACTCCTATCGTCGATTGAAATTCCACACGGAGGGTCGTAAAACGAATTCAATTGTATGAAACGACCGGCTAACTCGGCACATTAGCTCAGCCAACCGATAGATCCATCAAATATAAAAGATCAAAAGAACCAAACCTACTGATAGAATTTCCAAGGCTTATGTGCTTTTAACTAAGACAAAAGTCGATATGTTAACGGCTAAGTATAAGAATCAATAGTCACAATTATTCATGATAGTCACGTCTGTTCAGTTATTTGTACTAAAGAGGTGATTAAATTATCTGCTCACTTATTATAAAAAAGACCTGATACACCTTTTAACTGATAAGGGAGTAAGGATAACGATGTAACTGTAAATTCAAGCCACTTATGATTATAAATGTCATTTTATGAATAAAGGGGGACACTCATTTTCTTGAGTCTACACTCTATCTTTCTATCTCCATCTCGACCCCTTTTGTTAACA